TTCCAGATGTAGGCATTAAAATTTAGAAGTTAACAGTTTATTTATTAAGAATGATGGTGGAGGAAAGATTTCCCACACTTCTCTACACTACAGCGTTCCAGCCTGGTCTAGTCGTCCTCAGAGGTTGGGCAGGAGATGCCCATAAGGGATCTGCTCCCCCAAACGAGCCATGAACAGCTCAGAACCAAGAGCAGATATGAAGACAGGCAAGAGTGAGTGTCAGTGTATGGCATCCATTCTCCTCCCCTTTGCCCTCAGGCTCCAGCCAAGTGAGATTGAGGGATCCAGGCCCTGGTCCTCTTCACAGGCACCCCCAGCATTGGTCATCTATGCATGAAGTTCAGCCCAATGTCTTTCAAGAGGGTTGCAACCACCAAAGAGTTAAAATAGATCAACAGACTCCAAATAGACAAGGCTTTTCAACTCTACCACTTACCAGCTGTGTGACTTTGGGCAAATGGACAATCATCTCTGTGATTCATCTGAAAAATGGGGTGATATTTGTGTTGCCCTCATAGAATTGTTGTGAGAGTTAAGAAGTCATGCTGTTTGAAGCTATTAGAGCAATGTGTCGCAGGAGTGAGAACCAGATCAATGCTGATATTTGTTCTCTCTGTCCCTATCAAAAAATTCCTTCAGTCCTTTCTGTTTAAAACTCACATAAATAAACCAGTAATATAAGTAAACCTTTGATGGTGGAGGAATGAAGAAATCTTCAATTATTGTTATGTTCATCTGCACCCCTACCCCAAGCAAACCCTTCTGTAACCAAGAAAAAGCAGTTATTCAACAATATTGCAGATGCTTATTCAAAAAGCCAGGGGCCCGGGAGGGGTACACAGAACCGGTCCAAGCAGAGTGCAGACAGGTTTGCATGCTTCCACCCATCCACTGCTTTCTTGTGGATGATTGGATAAACACAACCAGGGCATTTGTGTCAAATTACACTGTAGATAGATGGTGTGTATAAACAGTCTCCTGGAAATGGCCAGCGCTGCTGGCAAGCCAGCCCCTACCACAGTTTCCCAGGTGTGGCATGTGGTGAGGCAGGCACTTTTTTGGACTAACTTGACTCAAGTATCAGGGCTGCTGAAGACTGAAATACCCTGCTTGTGGGATTCAGATGCAGGCATCAAACCTTCAGACAACTCTCCTCCATTAAAACAATGGAGAGAATCAGAAGTGCCTCCACCCAGCCAAGGGGCTTCTAGCCCATTCTTTCTCCTCTCGCTTTCGGAACATGCAGGCTTCTAAGAACACACAAGAGTGTCAAACACATAAACACACTAGACCCTTGTCGCCTCCCCAGGCTGAGTTCACATTTCCCTGTCTGTCTACTCCCACTGGATCTTCTTTCTGACTATAGACTCAGAGGTTCCAATCCCCTCCTCAGGTTTGGTCATTAGCTAGAACAACTCACAGAACCTGGAGAAACACTTTACTTATATTACTGGTTTATTATAAAGGGTACAACTCAGGAACAGACAAATAAAAGAGATACATAAGACAACTTCTGGGCACGGAGCTTCCATGCTCTCTCTGGGTGTGTTCACCAGCTTGGAATCTCCCTAAAACCCAATGTTTAGGGGTTTCTATGTCATCATTGATGAAAACTATTGGCCATTGGTGATTAACTCTGTCACCAGCCCCTCTCTCTTCCCAGAGGTGGGGCTGAAAGTTCCAACCCCATGATCACATGGTTAGTTCTGTGAACCAGCCCCAATCCTGAAGTTATCTGCAACTCCTACCAGTCATCTCATTAGCATACAAAAGACAATAAAATAAAGGATTTTAGGAGGTCTGAGCCAAGAACCAGGAACAGAAGACCATACATTTATTTTGTATTATGACACAGGGTCCAGGTACTCACCTTCTATGAAGGGTTGGACACATTAGCTCCTTCACAGGAGTACAGTCCCTTTGCACTGTGCACCCCACACATGCACGCACACATACACACACACAAATATACACATACATATCCATAAGCACACATATGCATACACATCTACACATATGCATGCACACATACACACACAAACACACATATGCATGTATGTATGCACATGTATTCTTTTTTACACGTACACATGCACACACATATACGCAGTTACACAGTTACATGAACACGCACACTAGTTATCTGTCTGAATATTATAAATACCCTTACAAAATACAAAATGTGAAAAGAACTGGCACAGGGCAGATTAATTCTGACCTAAGGACTGCAAAAAGCATCCTGGGATGCAGGAGGCAGAGGCTAGGAGGAAAGAGAAGGAGAAAGGAGGTGCATTTAATGATGCAAAGGTCTGGTCTTCCCAGCTATTCAGCTCCTGCAATGCCTTAGCTTTGCTGGAAAAGGTTTCTCTGTGGTCTAGAGTCTTACAACTGAATGTCTTTGAAGCTACACTGCACCTGCTTGCCAGGCTGCAGGCAATAATGTGTTGGGAAAGTGAATGTGTTTCTTTTTTTTAAATTATAAATAAAGATGCAATATGTTTGTTCAAATGACATTCAAGTTTGGTGTCGTGTGGTTGGTTTTCAAAAGTATAGAAATATAAATCATACTATCTTTATTTTATTCCCGTAAACCTAGATTTGATTTGATAGCCGGAGCATGAAGCAATTTTAAAATTATTTAGTACCTGACATTTTATTTTTCTCTAACTTTAATTATGGAATTATTTCAAATACATAAGGGGAACACATTGTACAACTCTCCCATCCACCACTTAGATCCAATAATTGCTAACATTTTGTCATATCTGCTTTATGTATATACATTGGTTTTAAAGTCATTTAAACATAACTTTCAGACATAAACACATTTCACCATTTAACAGTTCAGTAAGAATGTCCTCAAAATAAGGACATTCTCCTAGAGAAGCACTGTGCTGTTATTACACCTAATAACATTAACAATAATTTTATAATACCATTCAATACTCCACGTAGTGAAATCCCCTCTAAATTGTCTTTCATGCTGGTCAGTTGACCTAGGAGTCTATCAGGGTCCATACTTGTTGTTATGAATGCTGCGTGTTTTTAGCTGTTTTTGTACTCGAAACATTCTCACCCTTTTGCTGACTTTGACTTTTGGAGGAGACCAGGCCTATCAACTATAGAACATCACTCTCTGGACTTGTCTCATTGCTACTCCCTTGTGTAATTTACCTTGTTGCTTTATCCTTGTTTCATCCGGTAAACTGGAAGTGCAGGATCTGGGCTTGACCTTTGATTCAAGTTAAGCATTTTTAATGAGAATACAGCATCAGCGTTGTTGCGTGCTAGATACTGCAGCATCTCATGCTGTCAGGTTGATCGTGTATGCATGACACTAAGCTTGATCCTGTAAAGGTGCTGGCAGCCAGGTGTCCTCACTGAGAATGAAAAATGTTTTCCTTCTCCAGGTAGCACTGTGTGGTTAGCCAGTTCTCCACACTTTCATCTCTGAGTGCATTAAATCGCTTTGTCCCACTCAATTATTTCCTCTAGAGCTGCAGGAGGGGAACTGCTAATTCTTTCATTTTGTCTAGATTTATGAGCTGGCATTGTTCTGTTAACCAGGGGTGCAGAGGGGGAGACTTTTATTGCCAGACTCAGGGAAGCTGGTTTTCTCCTAAGAAGTAGTAACAGAATTTGGCCTCTAGGGGCTGTGCGGGAGAATGGAGGACCGCCCCGCTCCCACCGCCCCCGGCCAGGGTCCAGTGTCTGACCTTCATGGCCAGGGAGCAGGGAGTGAATGGGGGTGGGACACTGGGTCTGTGAGAGAACCAGACTGTGTGGGGAGAACTACCTAAGACTGGGAATCTTTGGGGTAAAGGAGCCTTGTCAAAAGAAGAGTTTCAAGTATGCCACTGTATGTCAAATCCTGTATCTCCTTTGGGACACCTGCAGTAAGGAGCCGCATTGTTTGTTAGGGCTTCTGCAGTCCGTAGACTCCGTAGTGGCTAGTGCTCAGTCTTGTTGCCCTGGTGATGGCAAGTGGCCCAAGAAGCACAGTCCCTTCTCTCCTTTTCTTGACTTGATGCTGTAGGAGTGGAAAATGGAGGCACATTCGGTCTCACTTGCAATTCGGCACTAAAATGGCTTCTCAGAACTTGCACAAGACACTGAGTTTGGAAGGTCAGTTGTTGCGGTGACTCACAGTAGCGCAGGCCGATTGTATTAAGTAGAAACATGGACAGGCAGCACCGGCCCTCCACTGAGCTCCAAGGGCTGGCCAGAGCTCTGCAGCGCCTCCCATCGCTCGCCCAATGTTGCCAGAGCCTGGGTTTCTCTACAGGGAACAACAGAGAAGGCCAGCAGCCTTACTATGTTACATTATGACAGGTGCTCATTAGGGCTCCATCCCATCCCAAATAAGCATTCGCTTCCAGCTCTAGGATAAGGCAGCCCCGGGGTTCTCCTCTGGAGGCAGGAGAGCACGTCAGGTACAGGTATCTGAGGGAGACCCTTCCCCAAGATTCCCCACCAGCGGCTCCAATCTCATCTGCTCAAGAATGTACAGCCTTGCTTTCGATAACGGGCCTCCTGGTTCCTTTTTCTTGCCTATCTCTTTTTCTTCCTTTCTCTTTCTTTCTCCCTCCCTCAGAAGCTCTAGGGTCGCTGCTGTGTTCTTTCATTCCAAGGCCTTCACTTTCCGTTTCCAATAGAAGATTTGGAAATCGCCTCCCCGGGGGTGCTTCTTTCAGAAGTGCTTCACATGGAGCATCTTACTAAATCACAAAGGGGCGAATCCGTGCGCGGGGCGGAGGGATCGCTGACATCCGCCGCAGCAATTTCGCTCGCGGTGCGACTCTCCAGCCCAGGGTGGGGTCGGGGGTCCCCAGCGCTAGCGCCCAGGGTAGCGGGTCCCTGCATCCGAGGTTTGGACGCGGCGGCCACGAGGCCCGGTCTGCAGGCGCTACTCCTGCAAGCCGGGGTCAGTCAGTTTCAAACGGAAATGATTATGATCACAGTGATAATAACGATCTTAATAGTAATAATCATCCCAAACTCTCGCCATCAGCGCGCCCTGCCCAAGCCCAGTCCCCGACCCGGTTCGGACCCGTCCCCGCTGGGTCATGGGGTCCCAGGGTCGGCGCCTGAAGCTCACTCAATGGGCGCAAGGTCTGAAGCCTGAACTCGGGTAAGCGCAGAGGGGCGAGTCGACCCCTAGGGCACTGCGAGGCGGGGCGCAGGGCGAGGAGAGGTGGAGTTCGGGAGGCAGGAGCGGCGGGAGATGGGGGCGGAAGGCTTAAGGCGGGAAGCCGGGGATATGGGGGCGACAGCGATGTGGGGAGATAGAGACGGGGATTGGAATTTGGGGACGCAGCGCCGGGTGGTGGGGAGATGAAGACAAGATGCAGGCTGATGGGAGTGTGGGGGATGGGGAGATAGGGACTGGGGGCGGGGAAGTTGGGAACAGTGCAGGGAGGTGGAGGTGAGGGAGGGGACGGGGAGTGGGGACTGGAGGCGGAGAGCGGGCCCCGCCCCCCGGGCCGCTGGAAAAGTTTGCACCCCAGCGCGCGCTAGTAGAGGCTGAGGAAGCTGGTCCAGGGACACCCGACAGGCACCTGGAGCTGAACGTGGAGGCAGGACGAGCCCAAGCGAGATCCGCAGACCCTGGTACAACCCCTCGAACCCCCAAACTATCCTGGTGTCCCCGCCCAGCTCGCATCTGAGCGGAGCAACCGACGCCGGGATGCCAGTGGCCCAAGTCCCCTTCCCAGACGGAGGCGAGCCGGCGGGACAAGGTGAGCGGCCGCGGGGTGGGTGGGAGCAGCCAGGCCCACTTTTCTCACGAAATTCCAGCAGATCCCCGGCAGAATCTCACATCAACGTCACCCCCTCCCCCAAGCCATCCATTCCGGTGACCAAGCCGCGGCAGGGGGAGGGGTGCTTGCTTCCCTTTTAACCGCAGTCGGAGCACTTAAACCCAGCTGCTTCTCAATAACCTGTATGAAAGAGAGGTAGCTCTTCATGGAAAAGTTCCATCCGTCGTTTAACTTGGACAATTAAAAAGTTAGGCGCCCTCCCAGAATGAGAACCTGGGGACTCTGGGACTGTGTGGTCATGGTCATTCTCCTGGGAAAATTATTTTTTAAAGTTACGTTTGCCACAAATTTTCATTTTTCTTCATATTTCTCAAACAAGGCATTCGAGACTGTCAGAACTGGGGCTAGGAGGAAAAGTCCCGGTGCAGTGATGTTACCACGAAAAATCTGTATGCTGCATTCATAATGGAGCTAAAACTGGGACAAGGGGCAGGAGAAGTCCTTCTCTGGCTTTATGCAGGGAGCCTGCTAGATTTGCCACTTTTAACCACCCTTCTCCAAATTGTTGGTCTTCCCCACACCCCTCTCTCTCCTCTTTCTCTCTCTTTCTGGCATTGGGCACTCCCAATGACATATTTCTTTGCGGTGTTTTTATATTTAGAGAGACTTCTCCTTAGATTTTTAAAAAGAACACACTGTTTTAAGGACAAAGAAAGAGCAGCAACATGAACTGAAGGCTTTTCTGGAAAATTATTTCAAAAATGGACATCCACCCTGCAAATAGTACTTTCCCCTAGCTGGAGCTCTGAGTACTTCTGGAATTAGGAATTTCTCCTCTGGACATCAGAGGATGCAGACATCGTATGTAATTAATTACATGTTCATAGTTTACCTTCTCAGCATTTATTTTCATTGATGAAAATCCTGCAGCCATGATTAAGAAAAATATAATTACTAGAAAGCACAAGGGAAGGATTAGGTTCTGTGGGTTTATGACTAAGGATGGCCATGCGGGTGGCTGGTGTTGGTGTAGGAGGTGGTAGTGGTGGTAATGGCAGTGGTGGTGATGGGGTTCTGTGTGTGTGTGTGTGTGTGTGTGTGTGTGTGTGTGTGTGTGTGTGTGTGTTACTCAGTTCTGGAACTGTCTGGATCTGTACAATTTCTCACTTAATTGATGCAGAGTTCAATTCCAGTATGAATAATTTTGTGGCCATAGAAGAGTCACATATTGGGTTTTCTCAGTCAGCAAATGTTTACTTTGGGCCTGCTGTCCAGCTACTCTTGTTACCTGACACCAGAGATGTAAAATGCAAGGTCAGCCCTTAAGAGCTGCCCCTAAAGATATAGAACCAATGATTGTTCATCCAGTTTTCATCTTTGAAAATTCTGCTTTCCCCCTTTATATTTGTGGATTTCCTTAAGTGCATGAATCTCCTAATTTTCTGTCGTGTGGATAGTAAAAACTCATGTCTCCTTTAGAAGGGGGCTTACACATGGGCTTTATTTCTGAATATTCAAGGACTGATTTTTCTTTCTGTGGAAATTATCACACACTTTTGATTCCATGGTATCTCTTCTATCTCCTAAAGATGCGTATATTTTTATTACCAAACAATGAGCATGCCACCATCTTAAAAAAAAAAAAAAAAAGTCTTGTAGAGCTCCATTTTTTATGCCAGGACTATGACTTGAGTACTGACACAGCTGGCAAGGCACCTTCAGGCAGTCAGCCACATGAGCCAGAACCTAACCATAGTACTGTGGCCTGCAGGAGCCCATTTTTTCACCTTTGGCTTCATAATTCCTTTCTTATCAGTTCTGGAGTTATTTCATATTATTTCTTTGCCATACATTTTCTGTTGACATAACTAATTGTCTTAGGAGATTTTCCATAGCTTTTGGAGATAATATGATAAACTGAGTGAAATCCTATCTAGTGTCAGTTAATAATATATTTCAGTTATTGTTGTTACAGACACTGGACATAGCGTTGCCTTTTTTTGTCTTATTATCATTCTATTTTTGAGAAATTGAAGCTGTGTCTCGCAGAAATTCAAAGAGCCCGGGCAACAGGCCAGTTAGGTCAAATCAGTGATGAGATTGCTCAGTGGAGAATGTGATGCCCAGTGGGTAAATCTGGCATCCAGTCAGCACCTTGAGCTGGAGTGGGGATCCTGGTCAACTGATGAGGCTCTTTGGCCTTAACGATGCCATTCCATTTTCCTGGCATCCGAGTCTTCCATATATTTCAGTAAAGCCACCATTCTAGCATTTTGCTAGCATAGTAGCTAGAGGTGATTAGGCTTTAAAGCACTCTGGGAATGCTCTTGTTCACCATACAGGTGAAGAACAGGTGGAAAGACAGTTACTTCCAAAAGAGTTTATCACTAAAGTGGTGCATTGGGCACAAACAGGCCCAGTGTGGTCTTTTCCAAGCTGTGCAACCAAGGCCAGTGATACCACCCTGCCCCCAACCTTAGTTTCCTCCTGTGTACATTCAGAAGGCAGATGAGGAGAGCAGACCTGGTATCTGCAAGGTGCAATGTGTAGTGCACATGTCATGTCACTGAGTGAGAGCATTGCATTGGGAAGGGATGGGAGGAACTCCATAGTTAGGACTTCTTGGTCAGGATACCTCTTATTTGCTTATGCATTTAGCTGAGTCAAGGAACTTGGTTCCACACACCCTCATTGATCCTGTGGCAGTCTCTGTAGGAATTGAATACTGTGCTCTTAGAGTATGCAGAGAAGAGAAACTTTGAAAAGCTCGATTGAGAAGCAGAGGGTAAGACGTCTTGCTTCAAAAACAATTGCCTTCCCAAGGACAAGCTTAGATGCCCAGGGAAGCGTTCATTTATGTGTGAAATCTTCACCAGGTTCATCTATAACAGTGATTATCACTAGGAGTTCCATTATTGGCCTAGAGCAAAGTGCATGCACATGAAGGGGTGTGTGTGTGTGTGTGTGCATGTGTGTGTGCGTGTGCATGCGTGTGTGCGTGTGAAGCCTCTTGCTGTGAACTGCCCCTGAAAGCAGAAAGGGGTCACCTAAGAAATCCAAAGTGAGGGAAAATACTCATTAGCAAAGGAATTTTGCTGGGGCCATGAAATGGCAAACTCATTATTTCCTTTCTAAATTCTTTTAAATGAAAGAAAAAATACTGCTTTCCAAGAAATTTTGCTTTTTGGCAAATGCTTGGTGTTTTAATTCAGTTTGGAGGATGAACTAATTGATTTCCCTGGGAGACGATGCCTTTTAAAAATACTACATCCTGTGTTCAACCAGGAAAAATTTCTCACTATCTTACTGTGCTTTTCTTTTTTGCCATTAGAGAGAGAGAGAGAACGAGAACTTAGACTTTGTGGAAATATTTTCCTTTCTTTTTTTATTTTCCTTTTCATAGTTTGTTTATTTTTCAAATTGACATGTGCAGAGAAAGTGAATCGCTGATGTAGAAAGCACATCTGGAACCCATCTGCAGTCCATTCCTCCCCCCACCCTCCCTGTGGATGTGCCTTCTAAGCTGGGGTGACATACTTTGGAACTACCTTCTAGAAGGTGTTTTATTCCATCTCTGTAAAAAAGAAAAAGCACTGGTGTTGAAACACCTTGAAATGGACTCACAGATCCCAGCTTATGAGGATAAAGTGAGAACCTTTAGGTATCAGTCTCTGTTGAGTGAATCTAAGGCGTGGGCAGTGTATTTCCTTCACACAAGATGCAGGAAGGAGAGGGTTCTGCGGGGGCCAGGCTTTGCTGATGAACATAAGCCAGGCCCACGCAAGCGTGTAGCTCTGTCAGAACCAATGAGCAGGATTGTCTCTATCTTGAGTGCCCGTGGATCTACTATAATATGCCCAGCTTTCTGAGGATGTACAAGACTAGCTGGCACACATTTCTCAGCATTGGGCTTTAAGTGTTCAGGTGGAATTTAAGTGGTGACCAAACTTGGACAGTGTCACTAACAGCCCCAGACACTAATCTTTTCAAATAAAATGTGAGCATTTATAATGTGTACATCTCACCCTATGGGTGAGAGCTCCCACTCTGCACAAACACTAATTTACAGGATGCTGACCGAACCCTGTAAGCCTCCGCAGACACCATCCAAATTGGAGCCCAACCTAGACACCAACACAACACGCTATGAAATCAGTGATGCCACAGTCACATAGGCATGTGCTCAAACAAGGATATCTACATCTATGCCTAGCACACCACTTAGGTTAAGAACACAGGGAAACCTCCCCACACCCACAAACAACAATGAATGATGCACCGTCCACTTGATGGAAGCAACAAGAAGGGCATCTGCATACGTGACAGCAGGAGCATCACATTGGAAGATGCAGTCACAACTGTATACTGCAGGGTTCCATTCATGTGAAGGTCAGAAACAGGCTCCACCCAAGGAGAAGAAGGCCAGACAGTGGTCCCATTTGGGAGTGGGCAGTGACTAGAAAGGGTACCAGGGGACCTGAGGGGCTGGCGTCTTGAGTGTCGGGTTGGGATGCATCCCTGTGGGTTGAGACAGCTGGCCTCCCCAGAGATGCTTTTGACCACGCACAGTAATGTTCAGATGCATCCAGAATCACTCTGGCCTTTAGCCAGCACTTGACTCTTGGGATGATTCTAATTTCTAATGTCGATAATCCGAAGAAAATACGCTTTTAGTTTTCAAAGAGAACTGGATATCTTCCAGCTACACAAAATGTGGAGACTCACATTTAACAACAAAAACAAAAAAAATGTTCTGAAAAAATATGCTCCTTGAGTAATGAATATTTAATTAAAGGAAATGATAAATCAAGCATTAATGAGAAAAAATGTTCATCCTCAGGATTCACAGTTTTGATGGGTCTCTTCTATACTGTTTTTATTGTGGTTATTTTATAGCTAGTTATTAGTTTTTGTTTGCTTGTTTTTTTCACTCTGCTCAATTTTATCAAAACTATGTGTGCAGGGGACAAAGAAAAAGATGTCAGTCTGTGGCGCCCTTGGTCTGCTTGCCCTCTGATCTTTACTCCAGGAGAAGTCCGGATCCAGTAGGTTTAAAGGGACTCATATCCTTTCCAGCTAGGCTTCATGGCATAATCAAAGGGGTCTCGGATGTCCAGGAGGAGCCATGAGGCACATAAAATAGCATGGAGTTATCATGGGGAAACTGAGGCATAGGAGACAAGCTTTGGATTTACCGTGGTCTCAAAAACCTTCCCGATGCAGATTCCTGAAGCCCCTTCTTCCTTGTGGTGCAAATTCACATGCAATTCACATCACTCGTTTATTACTACCATTCAGACTACCCTGGTTGTCATAACGCATCATGTTAAGAACGTACCTGTCGTCAGTTCCTGGTACAGAAACTCCTGATGCAGGAGATGTCCAAGAGACATTTTGAGGCAAATCAGACACAGTGGTGTAGTAGACAGAGGGGCAGCCTGGACATAGCAGCAGGTGGCCTAGTGTGGGGGGTGCATGGAGGGCCCTCTGGCCAGCTGTGGGGGAAGAGCAGCCCTCAGGACACTGCTTCTGGATGACTCTCGGTGAAGCTGCACCTGTGTTTCTCTTCTTTGCCCTGTGCTGGGCCTTTTCCGTGAACAAGAGCACCTTCCGCATGGGGAGTGCTGAGTGCTCGCTCAGTGGTTGTGCCCTGAGGTGGGAAGTAATGGGGAGATAACGGGGGACCAAGTTCTCCTGAGCATGGTGTCTGACCACGTGGGGTGTGGGCTCCCCATCCACCGCTCACAGATAAAGAATAGATAGAGAAACAGTGATAAAGAACACACACAGTTGTGGGGCACCTGTTAATGTACGAGGTGCTGCGAGAGACACTGTAAACTTCATGAAGTCAGTGTGAGGATTAGATAAATCACTTCAGGCAAAAGGCTCCGGTGGTGTCAGCTGCTGTTATTATTTTTACTCTTAAAAACACAGCTTGCAATTTGCTTTAAAAAAGTGGAATGTGGCCTCTGAGAAAAGTCACCAAGGGCTGGGCTGATTCTAGAAAGTGTCACAGAGGAGGTAAAATTTGACTCAAGGCTTGAAGGACTGACAAGATTTAAGTAAAAATGGGGGAAGGGCAAAAGTAGCTGGTTGGAAAGATGCCCGTCTGGGTGATCCATCCCTGTCTCCTCTGAGAAAACCAGCAGACAAGGCCCATTTTCCTTGCTGGGCCTCAGTCCGAATGTATGTGGAGGTGCTGGGGCTAGGGGTTGGGGGCAGCCTTGCCCTCTGCCCAAGGCAGCAAGGTGACCCTGGGCTTGGATGGGCCATGATCAGGGAAGGCAGCCCAGGGCTGATCGGCGATGGGGGAGACCTCGGTAGGTGCCCCCTCCAGTCTTTCATTGTTAGCCTGGCCTCAGAACTTGCTTACTGTTCCCTTTTGAAGTTAGAAGAGGTTTCTGCCACCTGTAGCATTCAGGCTGACTCCCAAGTCCTTCATAACCTCAGACAGCTATCACAGAAGAGCCAGGGAAGAAAGGTCAGGAGCAGTTCCAGGTAGAACACAGGTGTCAACTGAAATGCTGGAGCCTACGGGGTTTCCAGAACAAGTGGCATATTGAAGCTCTTGGACACTGGAAGAAGTCTCCACAAAGAAGCAATGGGGCCACCTCTGCCCAATCTCGGAGGACTCCAGTCCCCCAGACTAATAACGGGAATAGACTTGGGACTAGTGTGGGGAGGGATGGGGGAGGGAGGAAAGCAGTTAGTTGCCTGGAGGGTTTCGTGCGGGTTGGGGGAACCCTGGCCAGGGGCTTCTCCCCCCACAGAGCAGCTGTCCAACCTGACCCCTGGTCCTTCCAGGGACTAAAGCCTGTCTGGGCCTTGATTCGTACCTGGGAATGAGCTCGGTGGGTGGACGAGGCCTTCAGATCCCATCACACACCAAAATGCATAGCCCCATGTCATTGGAGAGTGGTCGATTTGCCTCTAATCCAAATTTAGGGTTGTGACTTAAACATTAAAAAGTACCAAAACAAAACTTCACTGGATATACACAATGGACTGTTTTAAATTAACCTCATTTGATCTTAATTATTTGATATTTAAATACTCAAATAATTTAAATATAAAGTCAGTCTACCAAAAGCCCTTTTACCTTGATAATTGGGCTTGTTTCACTGTGGACATCACAGGAGGCCACAGACAGAGTGGGGAGTGTGAGGGTCTGGTAGGGGAAAGGTTAAAATGGAGGGCTGTCCAGGCCTGGCTCCCGGGTTCACCACCTTCACTGTCTCACTGGTGCTCTCAGGTTGGTTGTTTCTTTCAACTCACAGGCACTGGTTTGGTTTTGGATGCTTAGACAGTTACAGCTGATATCCAGGCCTCTGAGTTTTTATGCCAAACTTCAAGTCCTTGCTTTCTCTTACTTTAACTTCGATGGAAGTTGATTCCACCTTTACAGGTTTGTATTCCTTCCTCTCCCAGCTCCACACTCAACTGCTCACTAGCAAAGTGCCTGCAGGGGGGCATAGATATTCTTACACAGTTCTTCCTTCGGTGACCACATGGTCCGGTCTCAGGGCTCTCTGCTTGGCAGACCTATTGGCCATCTGGATCTGGTTTCTGTGCTTGGCCCTGGTTGCAGGGGAGGCCGTCTGGGAAGTATGGGTTCATCCCATGATGTCATTCCAGAACTCACTAGAGAGCTTTCAGAAACCAGGTGGGCACCTTCCAGAGTCTATCCTATTTTTTTTTTTTTGACTTGAGGTGATCCTCAGTTGCTCTTGGTATCCGAGAATAATGGTTTACTAGCTCCCATGCCAAAGATGTTTTTTTTTTTTTTTGACTTGAGATGATCCTCAGTTGCTCTTGGTAACTGAAAATAATGGTTTACCAGCTCCCACGCCAAAGACGAGAATTAACAGTAAGTGCCTTGAGAGTTGCAGATGGTAGTTTTATTTGGTTCTGCACGTCAGGAATGAATGACCAATGATGGTGGTGCCCCTGAGCCGAACTTCCCTCCACAGTACCTGCAGACGCCAAATTGCCCCCCAGGTCCTCAAGCACTTTGGGTCTTGGACTGTGTTGAGAGGCTCTCTCTGAGGCTATAAAGACCAGTTGTCCAAGTACTTCAGCATTTTTTGTGCATTTCTCCAGCTTTGCTGCCACCTTCGCTCTTAGGTGGTATGACCTTATCACAACCTCCTTTATCTTTTTGCAGGAGCCCATTCTTCACACTCAAACTGGTATCTGGCAGGGATCATCACTGCTGAAGCCTGAGCCAGTCTTTATTTTTCCTGGAAATGGACGTTCCCAGGGCGCCCCCTGGTGGATTTGGAGCTGACCGTCCGTGAATTCCAAGTGATGGCCAGAGTCCTCACACCTCACCTCAGACCCTTCCCTGGGAATGAGACTCTGCACGAACATTACAACTACGTGGGCAAGCTGGCGGGCCGCGAGGGCAGCATCCTCACCACTGTGCTGTTCTTGGTCATCTGCAGCTTTATTGTCCTAGAGAACCTGATGGTTCTGATTGCTATCTGGAAAAACAATAAATTTCACAACCGCATGTACTTTTTCATTGGCAACCTGGCTCTCTGTGACCTGCTGGCTGGTGTTGCCTATAAGGTCAACATTCTGATGTCAGGCAAGAAGACACTGAGCCTGTCTCCGACAGTCTGGTTCCTGCGGGAAGGCAGCATGTTTGTGGCCCTTGGGGCATCTACCTGTAGCTTACTGGCCATCGCCATTGAGCGGCACTTGACCATGATCAAAATGAGACCATATGACGCCAACAAGAAGCACCGTGTCTTCCTTCTGATTGGGATGTGCTGGCTCATAGCATTCTCTCTGGGCGCCTTACCCATTCTGGGCTGGAACTGCCTGCACAACCTGCCCGACTGCTCTACCATCTTACCCCTCTATTCCAAAAAGTACATCGCATTCTGCATTAGCATCTTCATGGCCATTCTGGTGGCCATTGTGATCCTATACACGCGCATCTACTGCCTGGTAAAGTCCAGCAGCCGCAGGGTGGCCAGCCCCCAAAACTCGGAGCGATCCATGGCCCTTCTGCGGACCGTCGTGATCGTGGTGAGCGTGTTCATTGCCTGCTGGTCCCCGCTCTTCATCCTCTTCCTCGTGGATGTTGCCTGCAAAGCAAAGGAGTGCGCTGTCCTGTTCAAGGCCCAATGGTTCATTGTGTTGGCGGTGCTCAACTCCGCCATGAACCCCATCATCTACACTCTGGCCAGCAAGGAGATGCGGCGGGCCTTCTTCCGGCTGGCCTGCAACTGCCTGGACAGGGCACAAGGCACCCGTTCCTCGCCCAACCAGCCTGCTCTCGATCCAAGCAGAAGCAAATCCAGTGGTAGCAACAACAGCAGCCCCTCCCCAAAGAGCAAGGAAGACATCCCCCAAACAGTCACCTCACCTTGCATAACTGACAAAAACAAAGCTTTGCAGAACGGGATCCTCTGCAAGTGAGGGCCTGGCCTCAAGGAGCATGGGATCCCTACATCTCTGTGGCAGAAGTGGCACCCAGGCAAGAGGCCATGTGCTTATTTATTGCTTATCTCACCATGGAGCTCTGCCAGAGCTGAGACTCGGGAAATCTATTTTGCCAACAGCCTGCCCAATGTAGCCATCTGTTAAGGCTGGGACCCAAGGACTTGCCAACCCATATCAGTGTAGACAGTGTGCCTTATTGTTTCAGGCTCCAGAGCCTTCCAAATGTACCAAGCTGCTGATGTCATCGTTGCCTTCCCCAGAATCCTACAGCTGCTCTCTGGTGTTCCTGGAGAGGGGAGGCCATGGGCCACACAATGTACAGTGTGTTTCCCAGGACATCGGGATGATGTTTGGGTAACCACACTGTACTGACTGTGCCAAGAATGGATGCTTGTGTATTCTGTCATTTCTATGCTACATTGCACTTGTATTTCAGATGTCTGCCATTGGCATGTGCATAAGCTGCAGTATGTGGCACAGTTATGTTAGCAGTAATCAAGCATGTTTTGACTGAACCACAAACTATAAGAATATGGATGGGAACTAGGTAGACATGCCAGTTCCAGTCTCCTCAGACTGATGTGAAGTCTTGAGTTGAGCAGGTTTTGAATGCTAAAATTCTCAAAAATACCTTGTCTAAGGCTGGTCCCAGATGTGTGGGTCTGACCCCAAACAGCCCTGAGACATGCCTGGGAGTAGGTCAGTGTCTGAAAAATCCTCACAAGAATGACCAAGTTCTGTAGGCATAGGTCCCCCAAGGAGCCCCCCCCATTCTTTTCTGTCATGTGTCCCTGCATAATTTTAAGCACACTCAAAATTAGCCAAATTACATGATTATTCTGGGGTTTCCACAGATCACAAAAAAGTCAGCCAAGGTCTTCCAGGAGCCTGTGCCCCAGACCAACTAAGAAATGAGCTCGCTTGGAAGAAGCAGGGACAAACCTCCAGCTCATTTCACCTTTCCAAAGTTGCCAGAAGTAGCTGTCAGTTAGCAGAAAATTTCCGTTGAATTGGGAGAGGTTTCCAAGACCACTTTGATCCTATATTGAGTTCCATTCTGTATCAGGAAAGCACCCAGTCAGTAACCCCTGTGTTGCCACAGCTGAGGAGCGGGGAACCGTCAGCAATCTCACGGCTTCTGGAAAGCTGAACCTGACAGTCACTATTAGATCAGTTTAATTGTCAGGAGAGGAAATATGATGTGGTGGTTTGTTCATTCTTCAAAGAAACGTAAAGTGTGTGTAATCTTACTTTTCAACATAGGTCGACGCTGTATCACTCTGTTTACCTTATAATGGGATTACGCCAGAGGCATTTTTGTGCATTATCTTCCCCAAGGGTTCTACATGAATACAAACTGATCAAAAGAAACACACACGTCTGTAGAGCTCCCATAAGCACACAGTGGATGTGTTGAGTTCTTTGTAAAAACAGAAACAAAACAACCTTCAAAAGGATTCTTACTTGGGAAAACCTCATATATGACACCCTTGAAGTTTTTAGGCTCAGTAATAATGTTGCCTGTAAAGACTAAAAGAGCAGTCTTAGCACGTTAACATATTTGAAGAGAAATTAACTCCTGTTTACCTGATGAAAGTTCTTCTTATTGAGGAATAGTTCCGTGTATCCAGGGAGATCTCCATGTACTGACCAAAGATTCCTCATCTTTTTTACTGATGAGATAAATACTGTTTGTAAGATGTTCATCGGTGGCATTTTTCTTTGCCTTCTTTACACTCCTGAAAAGAAGCTTGTTCTTTTATCAAGTAGCGTGAGAAAACCCAGGGTATTTCTAGGAATGGTAAGCATTAAGGTACTGGGTTAAGAAAAAAAATGCACCAGAGGGCCAAAATGTTGGGTATTGTACTTCACGTAGGTAGTGACATGGCTTTAGAACTTTATATCATAGTTCTCTGTTGCTCTGGGGGCCCCAGATCTCTGGCACTAATATTAATAACACTTTGTACCATAACCACAATGTCCCTGTGAGAGAACGCCAAACGTTCAAACAATCTGAATGAAAAATACTCCAAAAAAAAATTGTGTTATCTGATATGTGCAAAAAATAATCAACATTAATACCAATGTGTATATTCCTAACTAGCTAGCTGGAGATCATTTAGAAGTTGAGTGTTTCAAAGCCACAGAAAAGCTGTGCTTTAGATCTCATTCCGTTAGAAACCTTTACTATGTCCCATATATGTTTGTTAAAAAATAAAACCAAAAGCCTTCGTAAAAACCATTGTTGGAAGTCCATGTGGGGGTCGTGCATCTCCAGGCCACACCTGGTCGGGTACAAGATGGCAGCCAGCCCCTCACCTGGTACTAGTGTCTCTATAGGAATTAAACCACTCTTGGAACCCCGGTAATCTTTCCACCTATACTTCCCCATTTGCATATGTGGTGTTTGGTGAAGCCTGGTGGATTGGGGCTATTTCAGCAATGTCAGTGAGTTGGATTGTTTTGAGGATGGTCAACAGACTGCCTTTTGACAGGGTGACGATTGAGAGCCCTGGCAGTCAAGGTAGGGCTAGAGGAAATGCAATGCTTGGTTTTGTTCCATTTGTAACAGGAGAGAAGAGGCCAGAACTGGCCCTTTCCCCAGCTTTCTCCTTTATAAATGGTAGGTTTTGGTGTGGGGTGTGTGTGTGTGTGTGTGTGTGTGTGTGTCCATGTCCCCATTCTGTGCCCTACAGAGAAAGAGGCTGGCATTTGGCATGACTAATCTGGTGGTGACAGTCATGAAGAAATCTCCCCAGCACAACCAAGGACCAAACCTTCTGCCTCCTGTGATTCTGCCCAAGGCCCACTTGGTAGAGATTAACAGAAGTCCCCTCAGGAATGCTTCTGCCCAGCAGCCATTTACATTTACACCCTCAGCTGACAGGCAGGGCTTTGCTGTGACTGTGCTTTAAGAAGTCTCTTGGACAATGACAGACTATCTGCTTTCTCTGGAAAAGTTTCAACCTCCCCTCCTCTCTTTTGAGTCAAAACAATATCCACAATCCAAATGAAAGACTTTTCACAATATTCTTTATTGCCCACAGACTTATACTGACAGTCATTTAAACAATGGACAATTTAGAAAACAGCTGTTATCTCAACCTTTGAGCCATGGTGATTCTGCGCTGGTAAAGAGCTTTTCACAGAACTGTAACAAGGTGTATTTTATAGAAAACTTCTAATTAAATTACCAAGTCCATGCTTTTAAATTGTGTTTATGAGTGCAAAACCTCAACACCCAAATGTTTTAGTATCTAAGTGAAATATCAAAGAGTTTGCTACATAATCAGAAATGCGCATACCACTATTCTGAAAATGAAGGCACAGTTTCCGATAACCAATGATAAGAAGTGCAGCATTGCCTGCATGGTGATAACCTCCTTCCTGGGCCAGAGTGATGACAGCTGGGGATGCCCCTCCGCTTGGCTACCCCAGAAGCACAAGGACATGCCAGGTGTGTCATCAAAGGCTCTCAACTAGAAACCACATCATTTCCTAAAGGAATGAAGTGGATTCACTGAAGGTGAGGAAATTTAAGCCAATCCCCTTCACCCACTGTATTGTCAAACCTCCCAAATGTTGGCCAAATAACTAAGGTGTTACCATTTTTCATAAAGCAGAGATTAGAAAACTTTGAAATCAGCTTTGTATTTCCACTCCTCAGGGATGTCCAAAGGCCCATTCCGTTACAATATCAAAGTAGAAAGTGGTGAATTGGCAATAAACCCATATAGAGACCTTTACAATAATTCTTTTTTGTTTCACAAAAGTTAATGAAAAACCAAACACAAAATTTTCAAATAATATTTATCAATGTGTATAATTTGTCATCCAAATGCTTTTTAAAAAAGTGATATTCTATTATTACACATTAAACTTATACAGAGGTTTCTCCTAATCCTTAGATTTAAAGATCAAATATTTAATTCTTGTTTAAATCTGAATACAAAGAACATTCACGTACTTAATTTTATAGTATTTATTCCAGAACAAGTTATATTCAAAGGTCAAGTGAACAGCGAACATTCCATTTGCAATCAACACATAGTTGTTACAAGGTAATTGTGTTTAAGGATGGATTTGCCCATTGATTTCTGCTTTGTTAATTGTCCCTCGAATTGGTGGTTAGAAAATCTGGTTGTGATGAAATGTCCCAAGTGAGCATGAATGAATTACCTCAAACCTCAGGACCATGGCGTGCACTCTCATGTGCAAATTTTCCTACCTGCAGCATACAACAAGACGGAAACTTAAACTTTGAGATTTCATTTCCCACACGAGACTGGCTCTTCCAGCCCCCTGGAGGGAGCCCAGTGTTTGGAGCCTAAGGGATTCATTTATTCAGACACACCTGTGAACGCAGGAAAGAGAAGTGACAAGAGCAGCCTCACTGCCACCTCCAGCCTCCCCGCTAACACCATCCATTTTGCCTGCAGAGGGTGTCCTGCCTCCTCCTAGGCCTTCTGCCTTGTCTGCCTGCACTAGCACACTCGTCCCATCTGCCCTCCAGTTTGCAAAGCCTTCAGATTCCTCAGACCCACTCAGGAGCCTCAGCCTCCACAGTCTTGCCGAACTTAGCCACAACACTGTGGGGCTTGTCACGCCAATGCCGTGTGTGTTTGCTTCCCACTGGATTACACCCACAGGCAGGAAGAACCCTCGTTCACGTCTCTATTCCAGGGACCCAGCACAGTGCCTGCCGAATGTGACTAATATAGAGATGAGGCCAAGAGAAGGCTGGTGAGAAACACTAACAAGCGGTACCGCGTTTGCAGCTGCACCAGAGAGGACAATGCTCACACCCTTCCCCTATCCCCATCTCGACCCTGGGCACACTGTGATGGGGACAGCCTCTGCCACACTGGACTCTTCTCATCCTTGCTGGCCTCCCACACACATACCACACACTGCTGGATGAACACAGGATGTAGGTCCGGACTTGATTAGTATGCCCGCCCCCTTTTTACTTTATCCTCCTCCGCCCTACCATCCTCTCCTTTCCTCATCTTCCCTTGCTAGCCTCATCCCTCGCGTCTTTCTATCATTTCCCAAAGTGGACCCCCATGGCTCTCCAGTTGTCTGTGGATGTCAGGACACATCAGTCTTCAAACTCTTAACATTTGCCTAACCTTCTAGTTGTCATTGTTAGTTAAAATATCAAGACCCAGGGAGGAGTCCCGAGGTACAAATCACACAGCCATACTTCATGTGCACACATACGGTGAGACACACATCCATTGTAATCAATGCAGGTACAGGTATGTGTGTTTACACACATACAGACAGAGATGCACGTCTGTTGGAATCAGTGTAGGTACATGTATGTATGTATGTATGTATGTATGCACGCACACACACACACACACACACACACACACACACACACACATATGAGACTGACATTCACAAGTCCTGGTATAAAGTTGCAATTTTTCTGGCTGCTATAAAATGTGCCAGTTTTAAAACTGCATTATGTTGCTTGCAAACTTATAAATATGTATAAACTCCATTATAAATAAATTGTAGCTGGCGGATGGCATTTTATCTTCCAGCAATGATTACATGAAGTTATAAATGTTTGTTAATCCTCACTTTTAAACTCACAGCATGGGCCTGGGGTCTATGGCACGTACTGGTATGAAAATATAATCATAGAAGAGGGAGTCATCAGTGTGAGGACTGGCGACTCACACTTGATAGTGGTTCTCAAAGTCTAGACTGCCCACCAGCATCACTCGCAATTTATCAGAAATACAAATTCTCGGGCCCATCCAGACTTCTCTAGTCAGGAACTCTGGGGAGGGCCCCCATGGCTCTGATGCCTGCCTTCTCCCCTAAGCCTGCTTAGCCCAAGCCTGCTTAGTCCTCTCTGCCCAAAGACTCCCCAGCTTGGGAAGTATGCATAAGTGTGTACAGCACTGGCCTGGACAGCCTTCGCTGCTGGGTTGGGTGGGTAAATGCCCAGCTCCTGCCCCGGTGGGTCAGCTCTGACGTGTGTTCAGCCCTACCTCCCGCAGTCCCCAGTGAGATTAGTTATCCAAATCCTGGTGACTTGCCTGATCATATTCGCCTCATCAGCTTCCTTTCCTGCCCCACATACACACAGATCCTCTCTCAGGGTCTGCTTCTGAAGGACCCCAGACTATACGAAGGGATAGAAACACTTTCTCATCATCCGTGTGAGTGATTCACGCTTTTATGCATTTTGAGGAAAGGATGATTAAGTGCAAAGCTAAGGAGGGAAGAACTACTTGCTATTTCCATTGAGGAGAGCTTTAGGCACAAGTCCTAAAGGACCGTACTAAGTCCTACTGTCTGTCCTACATTCGGCCACTGACCACCCTCTGGCAAGTCACCTCGCTCCAGTTTCCTCACTGAAAAACAGTTTCCTCCAGCTGCATTATCCCTTGACTCTCTCTTGCTCATTGTCCTCTGTGGAGCAGCAACAGTACCAGGTTTGCAACACATTCCAGTAAAGTAGTTTTTCAACTTCTCTTTCTCAGGACCAATTTCAGAAGTTTCACTACAGAACCAGAGTATAATTCTGAAACCCAAGGCCAAGATTTGTCTGCATCCCATAGTTACTTATTTGCAGTCTGTCCACAATTCTCCTTCCTATTTCCAGTCAGGTGGTCACCATTCACAGGAAGGCAGGTGTGGCATCTGTACACACTTGGCCAACGAGATAGAAATGATGCAGTTTTGTGTGAAGCATCTAAGGAAACAATTGTCCTTCGTGCTGACACATATTCACCACCCGCACAGACCACACAGTGGGGACTGCACACCCCTGTGGCGCAGGTGGTGAGCCACAGCTCAGAGAAATCCAGCAACTAGCACCAGGCCACATGGCTTTGTGTGTGCCAGAGCAGAGGCTGGACAGAGGTGTCCACCACTGCTGACACTGCCCAGGGAGCCTATGATCCAAGGAAATGTGTGACTGGCCCTCATGTGGTGACTGATTCAGGGAAATAAGGCTAGGAACATTAGTTTTAAAGCCTTACTTATATAAAGGAGCCATCCAGGCATCCGAATCTACCTGAAGAGAAAACTCCACTTCAGGAGTACGGGCTTCTTTAGGAGCCCCGGAAAGCCATGGAGTTAGGAGACACGTGTTGGCAGTGTCCCTGAGCCCGGGGGTCCTTTTGGGGACCACACAAAGTGTTGCTCTGTCCCCTTTCCTTCCCCCAGGCATGCCCTTCCTTCCACAGGCCTTTTCCTTCTCACGTAGCATGTCATTTTCTGTCCTCATTAGAAATTATCAGTAGTGTTCTTCTCCACCAGGAGACCCTCAGGACACCATATATGCTGTAATTGCGTCTTTGTCCAATTACCCCAACAGCTGAGACAACCTTAAACAGAATCATTGCTCAGATGAAACATGAGGACTGGTCCTTTGGCCTCTCAAATAAAAAAAAGGCCAGAAGTGGTAGCTTAAGCACAGGATATAGACCGGGATTTGTTGTCCTGATGCCTGTTTATCGGGCTGTTCACTGAGCCGTTCAGGGTCTCCTTGGGAGTCAAGCTTCAAAACTGACTTAAAATAGGGTTGAACGGCCTCATAAGAGGCTCCACAGGCTCTCAGCAGGACCAGAATGTCATTTGAAACATAGCTAATTCAAACAGGATGGTGCAAGTAGGATGGACGGTAGATAGGGGCCTCCAGTGCCACTCAACAGGGCCATTTTAGGATTGCTAGACCCGCTCTGCACTCACAGCCTGGGTCGAGCAGACAGGGACCCGTGAGAGGGGCAGTAACCCTGGAGCATTCCGTGGGCCCAGGTGGCTCTGTAGGGGCGCAGCATACATCCCCCGGCAGTTGGAGGCCTTGGAGCACTCGGCCTAGTGCTGCTCTGCCAGCCTCTTCACTTCAAGAGCCCAGCCCTGCCCAGGCAGAGACACAGTTGGAGAAACTGTGGGAGGAAGGCCCCAATCTGGCCAAAGAGGAGGCCCCGTCACTTCTGCCTCCAAATCCTGACCTTAAAGCTCAGCAGAGCTCAAGAAACACAGGGTGATTGGAGCAGCTCTCCTGCCTGCCTACTGCGTGGCCTCCGGAGCCTCAGTTTCCCTGTCTATGATTGAGGCTCACAGTGATGCTCCTCACTTGGAGCGTGAAGGAAGAGATGAGATGACTCATGTTTGCTCTCACATGATTCACAAATGGAGGGAACAAAGATAAGAAAACCACTGCCATCTGCTGTCTCGAATCTGCTCCAATAGCTACAAAGTGCCAATTTTTCCCAGTGGCTCTTTTCCACTGTAAACAATCTTATAATCTGAGCTTAAAGAATGAATTTTTCGAATTAATATGGAAACAAAATTTTATCCTCCCAACACTTGTAATTTTCTAAATTGATTCTTATGCAAAAAAATCATGATCTATATCACTTATCACCATTAAGATAAATACTGACTTCAAAGCAGATTGCTACTCAAACTGCAGGTCATCATTTCTTATGTTCCCAAGAGGAAAAATAGGGCAGGTAACATATTCAGGTGCTCGCAGCTCTTAACTCTCTTTTTCTGCCTGCTCTTGCCCCTTCACATTGGAATTTTGGCCTTACAAGTGGGGCATGTAAGACTGTGGAAGGAAAAGCCATTTTATCTGTTTTTATATGTATGTACACCCACACACAGAGAAGTCAGATGTTTCTGTGTGTCTGTGGGGCTGCAGGCCTCCAGGAGATGAGTTGGGGCAGTTCTCACAGCCACTGCGAAGTCTGCAGGGCAGGAGGTGGAGCCAGCTGCTTCCCTGATCCCCATTCAACTCCATTGCTTCTAGATAACTTGGAGCAAGGTATCCACGCTGCCCCTAAAACCAGAACCATTCCAGGAAGCAGCAGGATGGTCCAGATTAGTTCCAAACCACTGCAGAACATTCTAGAAGATTGAAGCCACTGTCACCTTGGATTCACTGGACCCTCTCAAAGAGCAAAAACTCCAAAGAAGGCTATATACGAAGTCGTGGACCTGCCCCGATCCTTCTTCGCCCGTCAGCTCTATCCCACTCCCCCATCCTGGCCACTCCGCCAAAAGTAGAAATGGTGTTCTCACACTCAGCATTAGAACGTTGCAGAATTAGCACTCATTAGAATTTTAAAAATCTATCTTTAAATCCTCATTCCTGAAACATCAGAGTTATTACTATCCAACTCCAAGTGTGTGTGGAGCATCTTTCTGTTGCACTGATCACGGGGGTGCGTATGCTATAGGATATCACTGGGAAAGAAGCCAGTATTGCAGCACTGGTGAGAAGGTGCCAACACACAAATGAATCTTTCAATCTTTTAAAAGACAACATCTGTTAAACCACAAAGTAATCTCAACTCACATAAATTTTAAAAGTCACAAACACTGTCAACTTCCCAACACCAAATGACCTAGCAGGAATCACAGTGTTTTATCTCGAAAAAAGGAGCCAACACTCAGCATTACATGGGGCGCACACACTTTTCATGGAGCAATTGGGAAACTTGTAGGAGAGACAACCAGTCACTTTACCCACTAATTGCCCCAGAAGCAGAAACTCATATTGATTCTCAAAACTGTAGGCAAAGTTCAACTCAGGGGGAAGGACTGATGCCAATGTCTCCAGGACAGAACTCTGAGCATACACGTTCTTACTGTCTTCAGCACAACTCATACAGATGCTTTTTCTTCTCTCCTGAATATAAGAGAGGAGGCAATTTTACTGACAGCTAAAATCTGTCAGTCTGAAATCAACTGGTCGGCCAGAAAGACATGCAAACCAAGACTTTGCCCTAATTACCCCTCCACACTTGCTCATTTTGTCAATGTACAGAAAAAAACAAGGCAAGCACTTGCCAGTCAAGATATTCATTAGGGAGGCTCATTTGGTGCCATATTTGGCACTAAAATGAATCCCCAAGAACCCCTGGACAACCAGGGTCAAGGCAGACAGCATTCCTATGCTCAGCATGATGCAAAACAGCTGGAGGGATGCCTGCTCCTTAGTGAAACTGCAGAATCCATCTGATGCTCAACACCCCATGCACACAGGTGTAATGCCAACAGCCCAGGAAGCATCTCAGAAAAGGAGGGACAGTCATCAGAACCAGCACATCAGAGTGCTTTACGTGCAGAGGTAGGCCTCTTTGGGTAGCATCTTACCTGATTCTATTACAGTCTCACTACTGATACTACTGCTTGCCTCTGCTCTCCATATTGTGCTTATTAGGTAAACTGCAGGTAAAGCCTTACAGGTGGACTTTCCCAGTGGAATGGGTCAGTTGAATTAGATTTTTGCCCAGACAACTACAGTCGAACTTTTTTTCATTAAAAACATACAGCACAGAACATCAGTCTTACATCTTTCTTAGTCTTAAAAAATAGAAATATAAAGAGATTATTTGTACAGGATGTATAGGTATGTACACCTTTACTATGCACATGAGAAATCAGAACAAGTTTGTGAAACCTGCACTTTACAGAAGCCTTCCTCCTGGGGCTTTGGAACAAGGCTCTGAGCCTGCGGGCAGCTGCCCGAATTCCCGTAGCCCAATACCCATCTACTGGGAAGAACCGAGTCCTCTTGATGACAGGTGCAGTGTCAAGAAAGGGCAGCTGGCTGGTCACAGGTTCCTCTCTACCGGCTGCTGGAGGCAGAGCTCGCTTCCAGCGGAGACGATGGGTAAGCTATTCTCCAGATGGTGGTTGATGAGGTGGCTGATGCTGTCAAAGATCCTGTCCTTTGTCCGGATCTGTGAGGGAAACAGAGGGAAAATCAGTATGACCCACAGGCAGAAAATAAGAACACGCTCTGTTTAGTGTCAGCCAGACTACTTGAACTGGAGAGGCACTTCCTGAGGGTCTGGAGCCTCCCTACACTTTCAGAGATGGTGTCTCCAGTGTCCCTGGTCACTGTCACTGGCCAGTCAATTCAGTCTGCTCATCTGTCGACCCCTCCAGGACTGAGCCACAGTATCCCCACCTTCAGCAACCAGGAACTATGATGAGCTCCTCTGCCTCCTGCCAGCCTTCTCTCCTGCTCCCTCATGCCCTCATAGGCTCTATCCCAGAAACTCCTGTCTAGCCATTATGCACCACTCACTGGGATCTGCAGGCTCTCATGGCCTTCTCACCTGCAGGCCTTTGCGCTGACTGTCCCTAGAGGCCACCTCCACCCCCAAAATGAGACGACACACTTCCTGTGAAGACCACATTTGAAGAAGGCAGTATGACACCTGGCCAGGAGCAATCTTCAAGTGTTCTCTGGACACAGCCCTCTAGGTCCTGCTCCTCTGAGATGGAGTGAGAGATGGGGCAGGAAGCAAGCACCTGGCTATACCCATTCACCCTCCAGGCCCTTAGATGGCCTTCACAATGGGTAAAGGATGCCTGGGTACCTCGATCTCTCCAACCTTATTGTTGAAAACCCATCCTTCCTTTGGGGCAACCAGCTATCCCCCAATCCTCCCTCAGGGACTGCAAGGGCAGATCTATTCTCCTATTCACTTGTGCTAATATTCTTCTTTCCCCAAATTCTTAATCTCACCCCCACTCCCTTCCTTAATGTAGCCACTCTTGTCTCTCTCCCTCCATCATCCCATCAATGGGACATCTATCTCTGGGCCTTCAGCCCCAGATCTCACTTCCACTCCAAATCTACCCTCTAGGTGTGCATATCAGAAACTCCTGCCTGGCAATCTGTTCTGGTCTCTATCAATTAGTGGCCAAAAGCAACAGCTCAAATTTTGAAATTAGGATGTTTTCCTCTCCTGGGATCCAATTCTAAGGCAAGGCTCCCTCCCCACCCATCTCTGTAAGTACAAGTGGGGAAGAGTTCTCCCAGGCCACAGGGTCCCCTGACTCTTGGGCATTAAGCCTCAGTGATGATGTAATCTGATGGACACATTCAGGTAGAAATCTTTTTGTAGGATTTGTTGGCATCTTTCCATTGAGGCCGCTTATTCTTCCTGGAGCTCTTTAGAATTCCCAGCCTAGAAAGAGGCCCCTGGGTGATGTGGGCAATCTACTTCCTTGAAAGCCAGGGGCACCAAGGAGCTGAGCTGGAGACTAGTATTGTTAGCATATTGCCTTGACATTGACTCCTTATTCCCACTTCTTAATGATTAACACTCATTTAAATCTAGGACAATAGGGGTGGACAAGGAAGTGTCTGGGACAGTGGTCTCAACCTGGACTCATGTCAGAATCACTTTAGTAACCCCACACCCAGACCAACTTCATCAGGAGCTCATGATGAGGCCCAGGCACCACTGTATTTTATGCTTGCTCCTTGATTCTAACATGCTACCCAAGCCGAGGATTACTGGTCAGTGTTTTGGGAGTATATAGACTGGCCAACATAAACAGACACATAAACGAAGTCACGCAGAAGAGATAAGTCATATAAATTTACTGCCTAAAGAAATAGGTCAGTTCAGTTCATTTCCATAAGTATTTGTTAAAACTTGGGTCTGGCTTCTGCCCAGAGAACTTGCAACCCACAGAGCTATCTGTATGGACCCACCTGCCATATGCTAGAAATACCAGTGGCTAATTTAAAACACTCAGCAGCCCAGACACACCTAGAACAAACTTCTCCAGACACCTAAAAGGATTCTGCTACAGCTATGACACATGGAATGTTACCCCCAAACAACTGTGTGAGGCTGCATAGCAAAGAGGAAATAAACATGAAGATGAAATCTTCATCTTCAGGCTATGGGAGACTTTTTTTTATATTAAATCAATAACCTAAGCTTCCACCCTAAGAAACTAGAAAAAGAAGAGCAAATTAAGTCCAAAGTAAATGGAATGAGAGAAATAATAAAAATTAGAGCAGAAATCAATGAAAGTGAAATGGGAAATCGATAGAGAAAAATCAATGATCTCTCAATCCTGTTCTTTGAAGAGATCAATAAAATTCAATGAGACTTTAACCAGGCAAACTAAGAAAAAAAGAAAGAATACAAATTACTAATATCAGAAATGAAAAAAAAAGGGTCTTGCTATAGATCTCATGGATATTAAAAGAATAATAAAGAAAAATTATAAACAACTCTATGCTACAAGTTTGATAACTTAGATAAAATGGACTAGTTCCTTGAAAGACACAATTTGCCAAAGCTCTTAAAAGAAGAAATAGACAATCTGAATAAGCCCATATCAATTAAAGAAATCGAATCAATAAGTAATAATCTTCTAACACAGAAAACGGCAGACGCAGATGGTTTCACTGGTGAATTCTACATTTAAAGAAAAAATTGTACTGCATCTCTACAATTCCATTTAGAAGATAGAAGCAGAAGGAATATTTCGGAACTCATTCTGTGAGGCCATCATTACTCTAATATCAAAAGCAGAAATAGACAACAGAGGAAAAGAAAACTATAGGCCAATACCTTTGTGAACATAGGTGCAAAAATCCTCAACAAAATATTAGCAAATTGAACCCAACAAGACATAGAAAGAATTACACATGACCAAATAGGGTTTATCCCAAGTATGTGAGGCTGGTTCAACATTTGAAAATCAATTAATGTAGTGCATCACATCAATAGGCTAAAGACAAAAAGTTACATGATCATATCAATAGATACAGAAAAAAAGCATTTGATAAAATTCAATACTAATTCATTATAAAAACTTTTAGTAAACTAGAAATAGAGGGGAAATTCCTCCACTTGATGAAGGATAACTACAAAAATCCTACCATGAACATCCTACTTGATGAGAAACTTGATGCTTTCTCACTGCGATCAGAAACAAGGCAAGGATGTCCCATCTCATTACTTATTTTCAGCATCATAGTGAAAGTCTTACCTAATGTGATAAGACAAGAAAAAGAAATAAAAGGTAGGCTGATTGGGAAGGAAGAAATAAAACTGTCTTTGTTCACAGATGATATAATTGTCTATGAGGAAAACCCAAAAGAATTAGCAAAACAAAAAAAAAATCTCCTAGAACTAATAAGTGATTGTAGTGAGGTTGCAGGATACAAGGTTAATATACAAAAGTCATTTGCTTTCTGATATACAAACAATGAACAAGTGGAATTTGAAATTAAAAATAAAATAACCTTTATATTAGCACCCAGAAAGTGAAATACTTAGGTATAAATCTAACTAAATATGTGCACAATTACATAAGGAAAATTACAAAATTTTGATTAAAAAAATCAAAGAATAAATAAGTAAAGAGATGTCCTATGTTCATGAATAGGAAGACTCAATATTATCAAGATGTCAGTTCTTCCAAATTTGATCTAGAGATTCAATGTAATCCCAATCAAAATCCTTGCAAGTTATTTTGTGTATATTGACAAAATGATTCTGAAGTTTATATGGAGAGTTAAAGACCAAGCTTAGGCAATTTAATATTGAAGGAGAAGAACAAAGTTGGGGCACTATCTGCCTTCAAGACTTAATAAAGCCACAGTAATCAAGACAATGTGGTACTGGCAAAGTAATAGACAAATAGATTAATGGAACAAAATATAGATCCCAGAAATAGACCCTCACAAATATAGTCAACTGACCTTTGACAAAGGAGCAAAGACAACACAATGGAGAAAAGATTGACTTTTCTTGGTGCTAGAACAACTGGACGTAACATGCAAAAAAATGAATCTAGACACATACCTTATGCTCTTCATAAAAATTAACTCAAAATGGATGATAGACCTAACTGTAAAACATAAAGCTGTAAAACTCCTACAGGATAACATAGGAAAAAATCTAGATGACTATAGGTTTAGTGATGACTTTTTAGATATGACATCAAGTACACAATCCATAAAATAAATAATTAATAGACTGGACTTTATTAAAATTAAAAACTTCTGCTCTACAAATGACACTGTCAAGAGAATGAAACGACAAGCTACAGACTGGGAGAAAACATCTGCAAAAGACACATCTGATAAAGGATTGTTATCCAAAATAGACAATGAACTCTTAGAACCAACAAGAAGAAAACAAACAACTGGATTTTAAAAATGGGTCAAAACCTTAACAGACAACTCAGCCAAGAAGATATAGTGAGGGCAAATAAGCATATGAAAAGATGCTCCACATGATATGTCATTATGGGAAATGCAAATTAAAGCAATGACGTACCACTACATACCTACTAGAATGGCCAAACTCCAGAACACTGAGAACAACAAATGCTGGTGAGGATGTGGAGCAACGGGAACTCTCATTCATTGCCAGTGGAAATTCAAAATGGTACAGCCACTTTGGAAGACAGTTTGATGACTTTTTACAAAACTAAACCTACTCCTATCATATGATGTAGCAATCATGTTTATAGTAGCTTCAATCATCATCGCCAAAACTTGGAAGCAAACAAGATGTCCTTCAGTAGACGAATGGTAAATAAACTGTGGTACATCCAGACAATGGAATATTATTCAATGCTAAGAAGAAATGAGCTATGAAGCCATGAAAATCAAGGAAGAACCTTAAATACACATTACCAAGAGAAAGAAACCAATGTGAAAAGTCTACATACTACATGATTCTAACCATATGACATTCTGAAAAAGGCAAAACCATGGAGACAGTAAAAAAGATCAGTGGTTTCAAAGGTAAGGGGAATGTACAGGCAGAGCAGAGAGGATGATTTTTAGGGCAGTGAAACTATTTTGTAGAATACAATAACGGTGGCTGTATGTCATACATTTTTCTAAACCCATGGAATGTACAACGCCAAGAATGATTCTGAGGTAAACTATGGACTCTGGGTGATGATG